ACGTCAAAGTCAAATTAAATTTTGATCAAATTTACGTGATTTTCATGTTCGTTGATGTTAAGAGAATTTCACGTAAAAAGTAAGTGATAATCATGAACACTCTACAACATATACACGTCCAATCTAAGTGAAAAATCACGTAGCTCATTCGAATGCTTCAATTTTCATATTTACATGATGGTAGTAAAATTGATAAATATATCATGTCATGTTCACTGGACCTGATGATGAATGTGACAACATTTTCACATCCATCAAACTTCTATGTGCGGTTGTGTGATTGTGGTGTGCTTACGTAAAATGAGTTTACATGATTTACATGTGGAAGAAGTGATTCAGCATACTGCAACTGTTTGAAGGTATTTTATATTATTTAGCTTTATTTGAAATCCGTCATACACTGCTAATTAAATTTATTTCGATTTCAGAGGCTGGATTACAAGATACAATTTATGGGGATTTTCCAAAGGTCAATTTAGCCTGACTCGGCGGTAAACACCACAAACGGATATTGCATCTGAATCGAGATCTGAATTGTCCCCTAATAAAAAAATTACCATAAAAGAAGGATAACCCAAATAATTGAACTATTCCAGAAATGGTTTGGATGATAACCCGAACACGTCGTCAAGAAAAATAACCATAACAATTTTATTACACGGATAGAAATCTCCTTATACCTTTTGGCAAATTTCTATTGCTGATTATTCATAAAATGTATAAGCACAAACGAAGTGACAGACGGAGCGGCTCGAAAACTTTGGTGACTAACCTGCTATTTCAATTTTTCAGTGTACCACATGGCAACACCACTACTACTGGATTGTACCAGTATTTTCACCAAATGTATTAGAATGTTTTGGTTCTATCTCTTTCACTCTACTCAAAACTGAAATGCATAAAAAATTGACAAAATGATACACTCTTTGCACACTGTCAAAGAATCATTGTACACAAAATCAACTTTGTTCAAATCAAAACAAAAAAACTAACCCATCTGGTGGCTGATGGCACAAGCTTCCAAGAAAATTCTATTACAGTGAACCACATTATTTTAATGGATTTCTTCGCCAGTTAGTCGTCTGTCACTTCGTTTGTGGTATAAGTCAAGTAATAAACAGACGCCTTGCAAAAAGTTAATGAAGATCATGTGTCAAATGACATGTATAAGCGGTCACACATACCTTTAATGCATTCTTATATGGTCTATGTGGTATGTCTTATGGAATGTATAAGGCTTAGGTTTTGGCAAAGATGTATAAGTGAAACACATGTATAAAATAATTGATTTTCGTTTCGTGTAGGGTCATGATCAACTAAGTGTTGGAAAAGCGAAATGGTTAGTATTAACACAAACGAAGTGACAGATGGAGAGCTCGAAAACTTTGGTGACTAACCTGCTATTGCAATTTTTCAGTGCACCACATGGCAACACCACTACTACTGGATTGTTCCATATGGCAACACTACTACCAACAATCAATACGAAACTAACGATTTTAAATTGGCTCACCACTTTAGTAGCCTATTGGTCCCAAGCAAACGATTAACGTGCCCTATTCTAGTTGAAATTCTATTACTACACTATGTTTGTTTTGATTCGCTATGAAAGTTTGACAGATAACATCAGGGGTGTGTGGATTCATGCAGAACATGCAGGGGTGAGTGAAATAGCTTGGGACTGCTTGGGACCGTTGTTCTGGTACTGAGTGAGCCAAAAATAATAATGATTTTCTTCGGGACCCAGTGGTCTTAGAGTTACCTCTATGGTATTATCCAGTAAATATCATTTCAAAATCACGTAAACATTACGTGATAACCACTTCTAACTTAAGTGGAAATCACGTTATATTTACCTTACTGTTCACGTTGACCGCTGAAAGTGAATATTTTTGGCTACCTGTTATTAACGTAAATGTTATGTGAAAATTAGTATGGACCAAAGCTACCTATGTTTTCACGTAGATCGGACGTGCATATTTTTTGGAGTGTAGTATTGCAACGGAAAATCAGCAACATAGGAATACGAACCGAGACCAACGGCAACGACCCCAGCGACGAAATAGGACTTGCGATTGGAAACTCCGCACGTGGAACTGCCTATCTCTCAATTTCATCGGGAGCAACCGAATACTCGACAATCTACTGAATGACCGCGGATTCGGCATCGTAGCGCTGCAGGAGGTGTGTTGGACAGGATCCATGGTGCGAACGCGAACCACACGCGAGCTTTCATCGTGATGAGCGAAATGCAGAAGCGCGTGATCGGTTGGTGGCCGATCGACGAAAGAATGTGCAGGTTGAGGATCAAGGGGCGATTCTTCAACTTTAGCGTAATCAACGTGCACAGCCCTCACTCCGGAAGCACTGATGATGACAAGGACGCATTTTACGCGCAGCTCGACCGCGAGTACGATCGCTGCCCAAGCCACGACGTCAAGATCATCATAGGAGACCTAAACGCACAGGTAGGCCAGAAGGAGGAATTCAGACCGACGATTGGAAAGTTCAGCGCTCACCAGCTGACGAACGGGAACGGCCTACGACTCATCGATTTCGCCGCCTCCAAGAACATTGCCATACGTAGCACCTTTTTCCAACACAGCCTCCCCTATCGTTACACCTGGAGATCACCACAGCAGACGGAATCGCAAATCGACCACGTTCTGATTGATGGACGGCACTTCTCCGACATTATCGACGTCAGGACCTATCGTGGCGCTAACATCGACTCTGACCACTACCTGGTGATGGTAAAACTGCGTCCAAAACTCTCCGTCATCAACAATGTACGGTACTGACGCCCGCCACGGTACAACTGTTGGTACAACTTAGAGCGACTGAAGCAACCTGATGTCGCCTTAGCATACGCGCAGAATCTCGAGGCAGCGTTGCCAGAGGAGGGCGAGCTTGATGTGCCCCCTCTAGATGACTGCTGGAGTACAGTAAAAGCAGCCATCACCGATGCAGCCGAGAGCACTATCGGGTACGTGGAAAGAAGTCGACGGAATGAATGGTTCGACGAGGAGTGCAGAGCGATTTTGGAGGAGAAGAACGCAGCGCGGGCGGTAATGCTGCAGCATGGGACCCAACAGAACGTGGAACGGTATAAACAGAAACGGAAACAGCAGACCCGCATCTTTCGGGAGAAAAAACGCCGCCTGAAGAAGCGGAGTGCGAGGAAATGGAACTGCTGTGCCGTTCCCAAGAAACACGGAAGTTCTACCAGAAGCTCAACGCATCCCGCAACGGCTTCGTGCCGCGAGCCGAAATGTGCAAGGATAAGGACGGGAGCCTCTTGACGGACGGACGTGAGGTGATTGAAAGGTGGAAGCAGCACTTCGATGCGCACCTGAATGGCGAGGAGAACGTAGGCACGGGAGACCAGCGCAATGGAAGAAACGACTACGTCAGTGCAGCAGAGGATGGAACTGACCCAACTCCCACGCTGAGGGAAGTAAAGGATGCCATTCAGCAGCTCAAAAACAACAAAGCAGCTGGTAAGGATGGTATCGCAGTCGACCTCATCGACTTCATCGACGGCCGATCGACAACGGACCAGATCTTATCAGATACCAGGACCAGATACCAGGACCAGATACCAGTTCCCAACGCATCATTTGTTCATGGACTTTAAGGTGGCATACGACAGTATCGACCGCACAGAGCTATGGAAAATCATGGACGAGAACGGCTTTCCTGGGAAGCTGATCAGACTGATCAAAGCAACGATGGACGGTGTGCAAAACTGCGTAAGGGTTTCGGGTGAACTATCCAGTTCATTCGAATCTCGCCGGGGACTGCGACAAGGTGACGGACTCTCATGCCTACTCTTCAACATCGCTCTAGAAGGTGTAATGCGACGAGCCGGGCTCAACAGCCGGGGTACGATTTTCACGAAATCCGGTCAATTTGTGTGCTTTGCGGACGACATGGACATTATCGCAAGAACATTTGCAACGATGGCAGAACTATACACCCGCCTGAAAAACGAAGCAGCAAAGGTCGGACTGGTGGTGAGTGCGTCAAAAACAAAGTACATGATAGTAGGCGGAACCGAACATGACAGGATTCGTCTAGGAAGTAATGTCACGATAGACGGGGATACTTTCGAGGTAGTGAAGGAATTCGTTTACCTTGGATCCTTACTGACGGCTGACAACAATGTGAGTCGTGAAATACGAAGGCGCATTATCAGTGGAAGTCGTGCCTACTACGGGCTCCAGAAGAAACTACGGTCAAAAAAGATTCACCCCCGCACCAAATGTACCATGTACAGAACGCTAATAAGACCGGTGGTCCTCTATGGACACGAGACATGGACTATGCTCGAGGAGGACCTGCAAGCACTTGGAGTTTTCGAGCGACGTGTGCTAAGGACGATCTTCGGCGGTGTGCAGGAGAACGGTGAGTGGCTGCGAAGACTGAACCATGAGCTCGCTGCACTCTACCGCGAACCCAGCATCCAGGTGGCCAAAGCCGGAAGGATGCGGTGGGCAGGGCATGTTGCAAGAATGCCGGACAACAACCCTGCAAAGTGAGTGTTCGCTACTGATCCGGTTGGCACAAGAAGGCGTGGAGCGCAGAGAGCACGATGGGCGGAACAGGTAGAGCGTGATCTAGCGAGCATTGGGCATGACCGAGGATGGAGAGCGGCAGCCGCAAACCGAGTATTGTGGCGTACTATTGTTGATTATGTCTTATCTTAAATGTGATGTTGTACAAATAAATGTATGTATGTATTGCCTAATCCATCATTAGGACTAAACCCAGTCTGTTGATGTAGAACCAAATAAACAAATAGCAAAAGTTGACACGCAACTCGGATTCATCTTCAAGATCTCCAACGAGTTCCGGGATCGGAAGGACTCGTATGTGACGATGATGTTTGAAAGTTAACAAGAAGTTCGTTGATTTTACTTTACCATTTGTGCAGCATTATTTCCCCTATCCAGCAAAGGATTTCTTTCGTATCCTACTAAGCTAGCAAATCCTTTCCATTATCGTAAATTGAATCACCATAATTTATTATGTTAATTATTCTAGAACGCTACAACTACCGTTTCATTATCGAAGAAAAACTTCTTTTTGCGATAACTTCTCCAGACGGGATTTCCTTTTGCCTTCGCGCTACTGAGTAAAATAACGTTACCAACAATAACAACATCTCCTTTGCTAAAAGAATGTTATCTATCACTGAAAAAAAATAATTTACCGTGCTCTATAAATTTACGTAAAAGTATGATGCAATTTTCGCATAGAAACAGTAACGATAAACATTATGCAACTAGGTAATTTTAATTCTTAAACCTCACAGTGTATTGGATTTTAATTGCAGACACAACTTTGATTGATTTATGCTCGATTCAATTCTCGTACAACACTATTAACGGAAATAAAATAACAAATTTCATTAGACATGCAGACAACATAGCAATTGCTAAGCAATGATTCAACAAAAGGCAACATCAAATGATGGATTGTTAAGTTAGTAGGATTGTTTCGTTTACCTCGCTGGAAGTTGTAGCCATTGTATGCTTAAAATTAATCTAATAGAAGTCGTAGGAGTAAAATTTTGAACTTACTAAAACGGTTTGTCGCGAAAGCAGAGTTCTAAGAAGAGCAAAGATATCACATAACGAAAGGGAATTTTTTAATTTTAGCTCCAATGTAAAGGGTTAGAGATGTTCGATGTAAGAGATACATATATTACGTTTTTGGGAATGATAGCGATAAAGAGAAAATTGTAGCAGTCTAATAGGAATTACACTAATAACTAATATAATAGGTATTGTCGATGTTAGGGTTTAAATGGTTAACAAGTAAAAGGTAAGTAGATATAAAAAGACAATCACAACGAAAGCCGAAACCGTGGATCGTTTAGCAAGCTCGACGCCATGTTCGTTGGTAAAGTACAGTCTGATTGGTTGAATAAGTCAGTTAGTTATAGGTGGATTGAAAATTTTGCTAGTGAGTAAAGCATGTAGGTATACCATGCCGATTCACAACTGTTTCAAAAGACAAGGTTAATTCTGATGAGTACTGCGGATAGTTAGGTTTCATATTTGTGTGAGATACGTGCATCAATATCCTGTTTAGGAAATGTTTTAAGATTCATTGTATCTTTTTGCCTATCATTTACTATAATAATATAACATCAATGACACTCAAGTTTGAGCACAATTTCGAACGGTGTAATATAACTAATCTGTTTTTTTTTTTTAGTGAATATACTATTGATCACAATACCAATGAATGCACGTGCCATGCTCTTAGATTTTCTACCTAGATGATAACGATTCATAATCTTTTGAACGTCCCTACTATACATAAACTTTATACAGAATATTGTGGCTAGTTCGGATTGTTTAGGCATATCACTTCCTGTCCTGAAGGTTTTCGGAAGTTGAACATCATATTTGCGGATAGAACTGGTACGATGTTGATGTCGTTGGATTCAGTAGTGCGTGGCGCTGACGTTGCTTGCGCTGCTCGGTCATCTGGAATATTGAAGAAGAATGTTGTGTTAGAATACCAACATCAGTCGCAATTACTAATTTGTCATTTATTAAATCGAGAAATGTTCACAATCTAGTTATTTAAATAGCTGGAATAATTTCTACTGTTGTATTCTCTTTCCGGAATTAAATTAACAGAATAAAACTCGAATTAAATCGCCCGAATACTCAACTACGTTGTAATTTATTTTCGTCAACTCTGTTCAAGACCAACAGTTTAAGGTGGAACAAAATAAGGTAGAGAACTTCTTCGGCCTAATCGCCCATTTTGGGCCTATCGAGCAGAAAACTTCAAATAAGTCCATGATTTCAGAATTAACAAGTCAATTATGCGTTTGGTACGATACTTTAGTTAATAAGCTACCGAACGAAGTCAATGAGAACGCGTGATATGAAAGTTTGCACCCATTATTCCCAAAAACGATAGGCCGAAGTGAATTCATAGGCCATTCAATGGCGTTTCAATGCGAAAATGTTTAGAATCCGTAGGCCGAGTATGGCGTCAAGAAGCAGTGTTAGACTTTTGACAATATCTCAACGATTGGTTTCTTTTTATCAAATACGGTACGTACGGAAAGGTAAATAAATTTGGAAGCCATGAGTAATAATAACATTTCGTTTGGTGCTAAACTGCGCTAGATTCACCCCCTTCAATATAAGATTCTTGAGTCTGATTAGCTTTGTCATGTTGCATCTTAGCTGCAGTTTTGTAAGAAAAATCCTTGTCGCGAATATCTCCATCCTGTTCATATTCTCTAACATACAGCTCGGGTTCCAGTTTTTTAATTTCCTTCCGAAAGCCAACTCAGCTGGAGAACGACCTGTAGCTGGATGAGGAGTAAGCGAGTAGACATATATCGAATTCGTTTATTATTCAGTTCCAACCTGGATCGGGTATCAAGATTGGGTCTGCTTGTTTTATGGCAAACGTCAGTTTGCTCGTTTGTTTTTAAAACCTAGCTCAGGTTGAGGTTCACACTGACAAAAAGTTCGGTTTCGCACTGGGTTGGAACTGGTGTTAACCCCGATAATAAACGAATTCGCTAATAGTTAAACTCATCTAAATCGTGTTTCCAATTGGACTGGTTCAAGCAGAGATGCGTAGCTGTTTAAAGCAAACCCCACACGGATCAATATATTGACGCAAAGAGGAATTATAGACAATAATATTGATGATGTGAATACAGAATTATTGTCAATACCGATGCATTGACGCCAATATAGGATGTATTGACAATACGATTATTGTTATTGTTATTGTTATTGCTCATTTCACACCCTGGCCGGCTGCTGCCTACCGATCTGCACTTAAGCCAGGCATGAACCTACGGAAATTTAGTCGTGGCCTATGCTAGACCGTATAGCATAACGACTTTCCTTTCACTAGCAGGCTTGTTGGTCCCACTAGCGTCCGATTAGGGGATAGTAAGAGATTAAAAGAATAAAGAGAGAGATAGAGGATTTTGTTGTTTTGCTGAAAAGAAATAAAAAGAACTAAAAAAAACACGCCAGCTTGTTGTGCAACATCAGGTTTGTTCGCTTTCATTTCCGTTCCAAGGGGGCTACGTCCATCGCTGTCGTACTCAAATACCTGGGAACCTTCAGAGGTGCACAGGGCAAACGTGAAAGACTTCCATTCTGGGCAGCTGCTTGACCTGGACCCAGGTCTAATTCCTATCGGCTTGCTTGATTTACTTATTGACGCTCCACCGCCTTAGTGTTTGCCTTTGCTGTGATGTTCTGGCGGATTTAATTCATAATCATAATCAACAAAATTCGTTTATACTTCTTCACTAGTAAATTGTAATTGGTTATTGGTAGTAATCAGTTGCTTGACTGAAACGAGACAAAAACAAATACCGACAGAAACAGGAATAGAAAATTTCAAGTATCTCCTTTCAGCTGCAACTAGTTAATGGTTTCTCTTCAAAACTTGGTTGGGATTAGTTTATCGTTAGTCGTTAATTATGACTTCCATCCTCGCGTTCCGCTGAATACGAGACCTGAAAAACAGAAATCTCTAACTCTGAAAAACAGTGCTTTAACAAGCCCCTCCTCCTGAATGCATTTTTTTTTTGTGTTCCTCTCCTATTGTAGCTTCCGTCTTATCATATCCCTCCCCATGGGCGAACTTTATGTAAATGTTCCCAGATCCCCTTCCCAATCCATATCTTCACAATTATTGGTTATTAAATCTCGATAATCTTAAATATGTTATTAATTTAGGTTCCTATTCCCATAGTCGATCCCGTTAATCCAGTTAATTAGTTAGTGCATCATGTTACGTTATCTTATTATTTTTATTTTATTATTATCTTAACTACTTAATTCATTCATTCATTCAATCAATTACAATTATATGCAAATTGCAAAATAAAACTTGACAAATCACGACAAATCATCGTCCATCCGCTTATTCTTGGGCAGGGCCTGATGATGTGAATCTGATTTTGATCAGTGAACGGGCACCATATGGTACATTCTCTCACTATGAACCTATCATTTCTAGCCTAGCTGAACTATTTAATAAAGGGAAACTATAACATGGGTTACGCTCCCCCTAAGCGGGCCCTCCGCATCCTATCTCTGTCTAATCTCTAATACCAAATGCCAATGGTATGAATGTATAAATATATAAATTGCAAATGACGTTCAATCAAATAAACCCATACCCCACTCAGTTGGCCTGGCTTTAGAATCGTCCAGTGGGCAGTGCGCTCTACACTCCAAGTTCCCTTTCATTCAAATTCACCCCAAATTTGATATTTTACCCCTTTGAGTGTTGATTAATCACAATGAAACATTGTGACAGAGCACGGACTTGAGGTTACTAGAGTATTTAATAATCTAGGTCCTATTAGGATTATATCTGAAAAATCCAAATCTGGCCAACGCCCACCGGATGTATTGACAATACGATTATTGCCAATAAAAGCAAACGTGTAGGGCCCACTTTAGGATGCTTCTGTTTTGCCTCTCTACTTCCCCGTTGGCTTGGGGCCAGTAGGAAGTCGTATGCTTCAGCTGGATTCCATACCGTTTACATAACTCCATCATTTGAGCGCTGGAAAAGTTGGTCGCATTGTGCGTCGTTATCATTTTTGGTGTACCAAGCCGCATTACCACAGCTCTCACACGGTTCACGATATCACCTGTGGTAGTTTGCTTCATTACTGTAGTGGCAAGGCGAAAAGCCTCCACGTTCGGTAAAATGGAGGAACCCGCTAGTCGGGCACTCAGAGCATAGGCGAGAAGATTGGGTGGGGCAGATGCTCTAGATTTGTACAGTCCGTGAATAAAATGATAAGTAGTTTGACTATCAACTGAACCAGTCGTGTCTACGTTTATTCCTTTAAATAAGTCTCAGTAACTAGAATTTCAACTACACTTTAACTCCATAGAGGGAATCTAGCAATTACTTTTATGATTCTGTATCTATGTACAGGTCAATAATGACTAACACCGGAAGGCAATGGTCCGAGAATATCCATGCTGAGGCTAATCCATGGTGCAAGTGGTAGTTCGCGTACAGCCATTGTTTCTGGAGGTCCTGGTAGACTTACGGTTTGAATGTCAATACAGGAACGCACATTGTTTTCAGCTTCTTTATCCATTGTTGGCCACCAAAGTTTGGATCGCAGTCGTTGCTGCGTCTTCTCGATTCCAGGGTGTCCAATGTGCGCTAACGCCAAAACATTCTTTCGAAGACTTACGGGAATTACTAAACGCTCACATCACAGGACTGCACCAGCTACAACCATCATCTCCGCCCTGAATGGGAAAAACTTCTTGATCGATGTTTCTCATTGTCCTGACAGCAAAGCCTTTATCACTGCATTTAGTTCCTCTTCTTCAATGGTAGCTTTTCTTCCATGTTCCATGGAGAGGGCAATAGGTTTGGCCGATTCTGCAATGCTCAATAGCATAGATTCTCCGTGCGGATTGTATGTGGTACATTGTTCAAACTTCGAGAGGCGAGATAGCGAATCCGTAATGTTCATTCTTCCGAGCGACGTGTATGATATTGAAGCGAAACGATTGCAATCGTAGTGCCCATCTATCGATGCACACTGGGGACAAAATCGAAACAATGTGTTAAAATTCAATAACTTCGGTGCTCGCTGGAACAAGAGACTAAAAAATAGTCATTCTTATAGAAAAAAGTCTCAGAAATCGATTGGAATGGGTTTCATCTTGGGCACGATAGGGTAAGTTGGGGTTTTTCACAGTTTTGCCCTAAAATCTCCTATTTTGCATGATTTGAATGCTGTATCTCAAGATACCGATGATATAGACGGATGATTTCTTCGGCAAAGTTGATCAGGAGGTCAAGGACTGTTGGATGATAGACAGAAAAATTCGGAATTCTTCCGCTAGGCGGCGCTAGTGAGCATTCAAAGTGTATATGTTTGTGCTGCTGTATCTCAAGATCCTGACTATTTAGACGGATGATTTCTCAGGCAAAGTTGATCAGGAGATCAAGGACTGTTGGATGATGGACAGAACAATTCGGAATTCCTCCGCTAGGTGGCGCTAATGAGCATTCGAAGTGAATATGTATCTCAAGATCCTGACTATTTAGACGGATGATTTCTTCGGTAAAGTTGATCAGGGGGTCAAGGATTGTTGGATGATGGACAGAATGATTCGGAATTCCTCCGCTAGGTGGCGCTAGTGATTATTGAAAGTGAATATATTTGTGCTGCTGTATCTCAAGATCCTGACTATTTAGACGGATGATTTCTTCGGTAAAGTTGATCAGGAGGTCAAGGACTGTTGGATTATGGACAGAACAATTCGGAATTCTTCCGCTAGGCGACACTAGTGAGCATTCGAAGTGAATATGTTTGCGCTGCTGTATCTCAAGATCCTGACTATTTAGACGGATGATTTCTTCGGTAAAGTTGATCACCCAGACAACCAGAAGTCGTATAACAATGTACAGACAGTATCGTAAATTGTTACAGTTTAAGTCAAAATCG